TTCCAGTGAGCATCATATTGGTTGCAAATGTTACCAGATATTCACTTTTTTAAAATCATTAAATTTTGAAGATTTTTATGCATTTATCCAAAGGCTATGAAAGTTCTTGAAACATTGTTAGGATCTTTACTGTTCTCGTATTATTACAGTGAGCTGTAATGTCTTAATGAGCACAATGATAACAGGTGGCATTGGTTGGCCTGCAGAAGCTGGCAAATTATTCTCTTCCTGGTTCTTTTTTGCCTCCAAATCCCACAGACCTAAAACAGAAATATGGGCCAGTGGGGCAAATTAGTAATCCAGAGGCCCAGTAGCCCATAACCATTATGGGCCACTGGGCCTGTCCAAGTTGGACCAAGTAAGATGGTATGTCTAGTCCAATTTGGACTACTGAGAGCTGGAGGAGGTCAAGTACAGAAGATTCATTAAAATATTTGCAACATAAAATGGCTAAAGTAAGGGAGTAAATTAAGGGGGAAACATTAAGTGAACAAATGGGTATTTAGAAAAAGACAACAAGTTAGTTTGGAAGTTAACTTTTAAAGTCATAACGCTGGGACTTTAATGAAAAATAATTTGAACTAAAAATTAAAGGCTGTTTCTAAAAACAGTTTTATTTATTTCTATTTTCTAATATTCACCAAAGTCTAACAGTACAGTCGTCGCCAAAGGTTTTGAGAATGACACAAATACTGGTTTTCACAAAGTTTGCTGCTTCCGTTTTTATAATAGCAATTTCCATATACTCTAGAATGTTATGAAGAGTGATCAGATCAATTGCAAAATCCTTCTTTTCCATGAAAATGAACTTAATCTCAAAAATTCAATTTCCACTGCATTTCATCATCCAGCATTTGATGCCATAAAAGGACCTGCTGAGATCATTTCAAACATTTTCTCATCAACTCAGGTGAGAATGTTGACGAGCACAAGGCTGGAGATCATAATGTTATGCTGACTGAGTTAGAATAACAGACTGGATGCATTAAAAGGAGGGTGATGCTTGAAATCGTTGTTCTTACCTGCAAAGAAACACATGCCGCCATCATTGTGTTGCATAAAAAGGGCTTCACAGGCAAGGATGTTGTTGCTACTAAGACTGCACCTAAATCAACCATTTATCAGATCATCAAGAACTTCAAGGATAGAGGTTCAATTATTGTGAAGAAGGCTTCAGGGCCCCCAAGAAAGTCCAGCAAGCGCCAGGATGGTCTCCTAAAGATGATTCAGCTGCGGTATCAGAGTGCCACCAGTGCAGCGCTTGCTCAGGAATGGTAGGAGTCCATCTGCACGCACAGTGAGGCGAAGACTTTTGGAAGATGGCCTGGTGTCAAGAAGGGGAGCAAAGAAGCCACTTTTCTCCGAAAAAGCCATCAGGGACGAATTGATATTCTGCAAAAAGTACAGCGAGTGGACTGCTGAGGACTGTCAAAGTCATTTTCTCTGATGAAGCCCCTTTCCGATTGTTTGGGGCATCTGGAAAAAGGACTGTCCAGAGAAGAAAAGGTGAGCACTACCATCAGTCCTGTCTCATGCCAACAGTAAAGCATCCTGAGACCATTCATTTGTGGGGCTGCTTCTCATCCAAGGGAGTGGGCTCACTCACAATTTTGCCAAAAAAACAGCCAAACATCCTCTGAAAGCAACATCTTCCAACCATCCAAGAACAGTTTGATGAAGAACAATGCCTTTTCCAGCATAATGGGTCACCATGCCATAAGGCCAAAGTGATACCTGAGTAGCTCGGGGAACAAATCATCTTGGGTCCATGGCCAGGGAACTCCCCAGACCTCAGTCCAATTGGGAACTTGTGGTCAATCCTCAAGAGGCAGGTGGACAAACAAAAACCCACTAATTCTGACAAACTCCAAGCATTGATTATGAAAGAATGGGTTGCCATCTGTTAGGATTTGGCCCAGAAGTTGATTGACAACATGCCCGAGATCTAAAAACACTCAAGCAGCAAACTTTGTGAAAACTAATATTTGTGTCATTCTCAAAACTTTTGGCCACGACTGGATAAGGCTTTTTTCAAGTAAATACTGTGAGTGTTTCTATTTCTTGCTCTATTTATTGTCTGAAACGCAGTGAAGCCTGTTTAATCATTAAAATTGCCAAAAAGAGCAGTATCTGTCAGATTTTATGGAAATATTAATTGGACAAAACAAGACATTTATGAATGTTATTTTAGCTCCGCTAAACATTTGAATTTATTTATAAGCCAAACTAATCAAATTCTAAAAACAGTATGCAATATACTAATTTTCTCTGAGATAACATGTTCCTGTCTGCATGATTATGAATTACTTACACAATTATTTACTACTGAACCAAATGCTCTTTGAACTTTGCTGACTTTTTTTCCACCTACAGGTTGTAATTATGTCTGTTGGAATGTTTTTGAGAAAAACATTTGGCATCGTTCACTGCTAACTGGGGTATAATTTTATTTATAGGGAATCTTACCCAGTGTTGCATGGTAACAGTAAATTAAAACAAAATTGTCAATGCAATATTTTAAGCTGTTTTCAGGATGTTACAGAGGCTTGAAGTGACCAATTTTGTATATTTCCCAAAGACATTTCCCCGTAACATTTTGAGGATGCGTCGGGACAACAGATTATAGCCGTTCAGTCTTAAACTCTTGGAAAGTGCTGGTTAGATTTCATCTGGTGATTGCATTCATGGTCCTTAATTAATGAGCCCTGACCACTTTTGGTGCACAGATAACCATGTTTTTTGTTATTCTAGGAATATATTGTATACACAGGCAGCTCCATAGTATCGTTGCTTACATATTCGTCTAATGAGTGAAACATTCCTGGTTTCAATCCAGGAGACACAGAGACACAAATATCTTTGAGTTTTTGTATGGAAAGGCATTCAGTGTAAAAAAATAATCTGCCACATCAAACATGTGGAGCTACCTGCTGTGGCCATCCTTTGTGAATTAAGGCGTTGCCAAAAGTAGCTACACAGTAGTGCACATAGTAATAGGTTTGCGCTTCTTGCTTCACGGCAAGAAGCTCAAACCTGCTTTTCTGCTGGGATCTTGGCGCTTCCATGATCAGTCTGTAACCTATGTGGGTTCTCTCCAGGTTAATTAGTGATTCTAAATTGGCCTTGAATGTGAGAGTGAATCACCATCTTTCCATCTCTGTTAGCCCTGCAATACACAGGCAATCTGTACTTTTAAAGGTAGAGGAGCCTCAGGTAGCTTTGTGGGGTTTCTCACCAGTGCCACTGGGGAGTAACAGAAAGGTTCCTTACCAATATAAATGTTCTTTGAGTTTATATGTATATATAGAATTATAATTATTATTATTATTACTGTTAAAATTCTGTCTTCAAAAACCTAGGAATCATCAAAAGATATAGATGTGGTCTATATTTTCTTTATTTTTGAATTTATGTATTTTGGACTGTGTCGTGAAATTAACACAACTCATATAGGGGTCACTGTAAATGTTGCTGTATGCACTGGTAAAACTGAACAAATGATCTAAAAAAGTGAATCAAAGTGTAAATACACACAGTGCCGGTTCACCCTCTTGAAGAGATTTATGGAAGCTTGTTTCAACTGCTGTATTTTCTTTTCTTTTTTTGTTTCAGAGCTCAGTTGAAAATTTGTGTTATTATCTAAAAAATAATTTAAAAAAAAACCCCTGATAAATCAGTGCTTCCATGAGATTCCACCAATAACCGTTTATCAAAACTGAGCTGTCAAGATTGCTTGAATAACCACAGATTTCTTTAAAGCTCTCTTAATACTGAGAGAGCAGCCAGGTGTACCAGACCTCTTCCCAAAAAAACTCAGTTGGTTCATTTTAAAAACATGTTTATAAACCTTTTACTAATGAAACATCCCTCTGGTAACATTTCAATTCAATTCTGTTTTATTTATGTATCTTCAAATCATATCAGCATTCATCTCAGGGGGCTTTATATTGTTGGATAAAGACCCTAAAATAATACAGAGAAAACCTCAACAATCAAATGATGCCCTTTAAACACACACTTTGTGAAAGTGGGAAGGAAAAACTCTCTTTTAACAGGAAGAAATCTATAGCAGGACCAGGCTCAGGTAGGTGCACCCATCTGCCTCGATCGATTGGGAGTGAACAAAAGACACACTTTGGAAGAGAGACAGAAATTTTAAAAAAAACAAATGATTAAATGTGCGGTTTTTAAGTGCCACTAGCAATGTTATAACAATGTTAATGATAAATATTTCAGAAAGGTAATAATTTGGAAGAATAATTTTAGGGAATATTACCTTTAAAAATAACCTTTTGGGAACAAAAAGTTTTGGCGTTATGGACTGTGATAATATAGCTATTTAAATGTTTGCTGCTCTCTTGGCCAGATCTCTCCAGAAAATGGCCTTTTTTTATGTCAGCGACTCTTACCTGGATACACAAAGGATAAATGAATGTCTCTTTGTCATCTCTCATGTTCTGTCTGGCTCAAAAGGAGTTGATATCATTCATGAGAGATATGTTTGACAGATTATAGGCCAACAACTCATTTACAACAGTTTAAATGCCAGAAATTACTTTTTGTCAGGAGATCCCTTTTTGCACAACGCCGGTTCTGGTCCCCAGGAAGAGTGACAAATTAAAGTAATCATGTGTGTATATTGTTTAATAATGAAATAACAAAGTCATTTGAGTCTAGTGCCTCACAAAAAAACCCAAAAACATTCATTGGGCAGACCGGTTCTGGCCCGCGGGCCGAGTGTTGGACACCCCTGACAGTACTGACTAATTCATATTTCTGACCACAAGTAAACGCACCACTGGGGACTTATTCACTTGGTAAGTAAAAGCTGGCATGCGATACAGTGAAATAATTATTTATTTGTTTATGTTACTGCTACCACTACTACAACTCAAAAAAACACGACCAGCTGATCGCGGACTTTTTAGATTTTTTAAATTAACTGCCTGACAGAAAGCGGAAGTGACGTCACTGCACACGCTTCTTTTGTCTGACGACCTTATCAGGAGGAAGTGAAGCTCAGACGAAGCGACTGGCTCACCGGAGGGAAAAAAACGAAAAAAAAAAAAAAGAGAGAGCGAGAGCCAGAGAAAAAAAAAGAGGAGGAGGGGGGGAAACTTCACTGATTCACTGGAATTTGGACAGATTTGGAAACTGTGTCCAAACTATCCCGGCCTGCTGGAGCTTCGCGGAGGAAAGCGGAGTCGTCAGCTCCGGTAAACGCCACTCTTCTCCACGCAGTCGGTAGTAAATTTTGATAGATTCGGTCGACTCTGCTGCCGCCTCTCCACCCGTCCCCACAGCCGGAAGTCTGTGAGGATGGTCTATTTTTTTTTCTTCGCTTCAGTTTTTTTTATGCTTTTGGTTTTTTTCATTGCTTTGCGTTTATTTTTTTCCCGAGCGGGAAGGCAGCACAGGCTCACACTGTGTGTCTGCTAAATGTATGTTAATCAGCACGTCGGGCCTGAATAACTGCAGGATGCACGGAGGCCAAATGGAGACCTGCTGTAGATATGCGCCTTACATTGTTTCGATGTGTGGCGTTTTATAAAAGTTCATGTTTTTGTAGTTCTTTTAGGTCGACTTTATTCCGCAGAGCAAACTTAAAGCTAAGTAGCTGGATGTGGATCCCTTCTAATGCCGCTAAATACTGAAATATAGGAAAGCGGGCAGGAAAGTTTAACCTCATGTTATTTAATAGTGCTTTTTAACACATCTGGACGCTTAATCAGAGCTGCAGTTATGGAATCACAGCTGTATGGAGCCAAACACTTGCACCCAGACAAGGCTGTAATAGGCAACCAAACTAAAAACTAAAAGTGGGTGTGACAATACATGTTAGTTACACGGAAATAATAAAAAGTAACACAAATTCTCAACAAAACAAAAAAGAAAAACTAAACTAAACAGTATTTCATATATTCCTTAATAATCCGAGTGCAATAAGAAATATAAGTTACAAGTCTTCACTTTTAGTCTTTTCTGATACGTTTTAATTGTGAACACATTCAGTATGGGGGATATCTGTGCACACGTTTAGTCGAGTGTTTTTATTGATCTGAGCTTCTAAAATTCTCCCTTGTACAAACATCCCTTGTAATCTAATAGATAAAAAGATCAAAACATTACTAAACATTTTCCAACAAAAGAAACTAAAATGTAACCAGCAAACTTAATATGGAAATTAAGACAAAAGTAAAAGCTAATTGAAATATCTCTAATGACTCATCCATGAGACCAACATGCTAGTTTTGCTTTTCTTATCATATAAATGTACCAACTATCTCAAAAATCTATTACATTAACCTGACAAATAAAAGTATTTTCTGAATTATTGACATCTCTTAAAATCCCCCCAGTATAGCCTCTGTAATATTAAACTTCATGAAAACAGTGATGCAGTACAATTTTGTTTTCTTTTAAGTTAGAAAAATTGGGTGATACCCACATGTTCATGGATTGTCTTATATGTTAAAGATCCTGGAGAAACAATGTAATATCAAGCTGATAAACAGTGTATTTCAGTACCATCTATATTACTCATAGACAGCAGTATCTCCCACTGGTTCAGACCTGAACTTAAGAAAATTGTATTAAATGAAGCTTAATTAAACATTAATGCTTATGAAGTGAAACTTTTAAATCAACAGAGACTCTTTTGGGATTTTTAGTCTGAGCAACAGCCCATTTTCTTCTGCGACATAATTATCTCATTAATTAAAAAAAACAGAATCTTTCTCCCCCTTTCTACTTTTCCTTTTTAAACTGTATCTGTAGCAATAACATGTCACAGGAATGAGCCTAGTGCTTCCCCAAGAGACCCACACCTTCAGGGACCCTTTAAAAAACCTCCACCCTCACACTGGGGAGTTAGTGTCTAGTAATTTGATTAACTGGGTCTTTTATTTAGTGCCCACAAAAGTTTTCGCCAGAGCCAAAAGAAAACAAACAGTGGGAAATGACGACAGAGTGCATGTATTTCTACTCAGTAATATACTCAGCTCTTAACTGTATTTTTTTTCTTGAACTGGAAAACACACTGTCAACCAGGTTTTCTTACAGTCTAAATATTTCGTATCACAAAGGAAAAAAAGCAGAAGTGTAAGTTATAAACTCCACATTGGCCTCATTCAGGGCTGATTTTGACCCTGGGGCCATATCAGCATAGTTAAAGTAACCACAGTGCTTCACACAGGATGAGTGAATCAAACCTGGTTACAGGTGAGAATAAAACAAACAAACAAACAAAAGTGTCACCACAGTGTTATAACCTGCATCGTGCCGATTATCTGATGTGCACCACTGCAGAGGACACTTTTGCATCACAACTGAGTTAAACAACCCTTCAGACTCTTTGCAGTCATTTGCTGTGAGTTTCTTTAAAATAATTTTGCCTCCTATTGATTTTTGGAGGATTGTTTTGTTTTGCTTTTAGCAGCCAGAATTACGTGAATTTCATTTCTCTACTTTAGTTTCAATGTCCTGGTTTGGCTTGTTGGTACACTGCGGTTAGAAGTGAAACAGTCTTTGCTTTTTATTCTAAAACATGTCACAACAACACGTGCTGCGTCAACACACTTTGTCTGCTTTACACCCGCCGCTACGGTGAAGTGACTGATATGGCGAGGCTCTTTAGGTCCAACCTTATTACCTGATCCCCATCTCGAAGAATGTCAAGATTCAGATTTATGGTTTTCATTATTTCTCTTGGTTTTGCTAACAAGGTGTATGTTCTCAAATTAATTGGTGCTCTGCAGTGTGCAGTCAGCACTCAATAAGCCATGTCATATTTTAGGAATACGGTGCACAAATGAACTGAGAGGGTTGACAAACCATTACTACTTTTTTTTCCTTTTTTGCCCAGAGGCCTCCTAACAGGAAATCCTTGTAGTGGGTGAGCCGTTAAAACAGTAGTGCATTGATCTGGTATTTGTCTTGTCATTGATCTGCAGGAGAATAATGTAGTACATGCTCTTTGGTGTGGGAAACATTTCATTAAGGTCTTTCTCATTAGACACAGAAACACACCGCATGAGCATTTTCACTACAATTTTTAATTACTCTAGTAGAAATGTCTTCTCTTTTTTTTTAGTCCTAATGTACACAAGCAGCTGTGAGGGAAACAGGCTCCACTGCCACTTCATTAGGTACACCTAACTCAAACCAATGCTTTTTTTAAATTTTATTAATAAGCTATCCAGTGAATCATAAAGCTAAAAAAATTAATTTTCTGTTAAAATAGTTTTATCGATGGGTCCTCCCTCCTACTTAGAGTGTTTTAATGAGGTTAGACTAAATGTAATATGGCACAATGCATGTACCATTATTACAAACGTCAGCTTCCAAATCAACTCTAAAGTTAGACTTTATGTTTTATATAAGATACATTTAGCTCATTTTAATGAATAATAATAAATTCTAGTGTTAGCCTGTTGTGATGGAAAGTTTTCAAATCTTGCTGCTTTTGTGTCGTTGCAGAAATGATGGAAGACTCTCATTTTAATTCATCATATTTCTGGTCCCCAGTCCCGACTATGCCCGGACAGGTTAGGCTACAAAATAATTTACTGTTCAATCAGTTGATGACAGGGAGAGAATGTTTCCGTCAAAGAAAAATCTCCTTTCTCCTGACAGATTGAGAATGCCATGTTCCTAAACAAAGTAAAAGAGCAACAGGAAAAAAGCGCTTCCTTCTCTGCTTCCTCTGCATCTCACTACCAGACGACTCTTCTCACCATCCCCACGCCTGGGGTCAAGACAGATGGAGGAGGCCAGGCTGGTAGTGCGGCGCACCTCCACCCTCCGCACAGCACCCAGAACATCACAGTGTTGCCTGTCCCCTCCACAGGCATCATGACAGCAGGTGGGCTTGTTTCTGTGTTTAGAAACCTTTAAGCGTCTCTTTCTCAGTTTTGAGGTTGAAAGACTTAACATATTTGGGGATTGAGTTAAAAAACTGAAACACCAAATATTAAGGCCGTATTTAGATCCCATACCTTCAGTTTTTGAAGTATAATGTAACAGCAGTGTGTTAAATGATTTAGGTTTTGAGAACAAACTTTGTAAATAGAGAAAATGGGGGTAAAATGAACAACTAAGAATTTTAATTCAAGGTTTTCCTCAACTGAGACAACTTTAGCGCTGTATTACAAACATTCTGTTTTGTAGTGCTATTGTTACACTTGGAGATGTTGATTGTAGTTAAAAAATGCCTTTGGTAACATGTTTTTGAAGCTGTAAATTGAATTCCTCAACCTCAGTGACACCGCTCATCTTAGACAATTTCTCATCTCTGCTCTTGTCTCTTTCTCTGCAGCTGGTCTGGTGATCACGACTCCTCAGGGAACTCTAGTCTCTCCAACCTCCTCTCAGTCGTTTGTGTCCGGCCATCCGGCAACAACCATGATTGTTTCAGCGCTCCATTCTTCAGGTGAACAGCATGTTATTATACACACACACAGGCTAACTTGTTTCTAAGTACAATATTGTTACTATGTAAATGATTAAAACTTATATGGGTGGATCAAACAGTGTTATAGATTTACTACGATTCAGAACTCAGGGTATTGTGTAAAGCCTGGTTTATGGTCACCTTATTGGTTTTGGTATGTGCCGACTGTGACGCCGCTGCAGCCCCATGGCCATTACTTACTGGCGCTTCAGTGCGCACTGAACTCGCTGAAGTCCTCTCTTAGATAATAGGTGCAGCAACTTTTCATCAGTGCTGGTACATGAGTAGAAGAATTAGAAAGAAGAAGCTAAGAATTCATAGAGATTTCTCCAGAAAGTCTCATTTTGAAGGTGTTGCTGCATCTCCTTCTTTGTAATCTGAGAATGTCTGAGCTTCAGTATATATCATTGAGACCAGCACAGTCGTATATATGTATGTACAGTATATATATATGTATGTCGATGGGTGCGCTAAGGGCTCATTCTTTTCTGAGCTACCAAACAAAGTTTCATTGTATGAACACGTAATGACAATAAAGGATTCTTATTCTTGTGTCTTCATAGCTTCATGCTGTGCACACTGGGTTGCAAAAGTTTTCAGGTGCACGACAAACTGAAACAACACGGTTTGTGCTTTTAGCACTTTCATGAGGGCCACTATAATGAGCATAAACCAGGTTTTAATATGACCAATCACTGACTGAATCCCTCATCTGTGGAATATTTTGGCTTTTGGGGGCATTCATATGTTTTCTTATGGAGTTATTGAGACTATAAAAGAACATTCTTACACTAAAAACTCAGGAGACAAAAATGTCTGAAGCATTTAATGATGACTTGATTACCTGGAACATGATCAAACCTGACTGAGAGTCTTTCTTGCACTGCTAAGTTAGACTTTGTTCAGGTTGTTCGTTAATTACATCTCTGAGCTATGAACACATCTGTGTGCTTGTCCACAAAGCACAGAGTGATCTGATGAGTAACAAAACCAGAAAACTATTTTATTACCAAGCCTGTGTCAGTAACTTATGGTTCTGTCTTTTTAAGTAAATTTATGTCTTCCAGTACAATAGATGCTGTTTGAAACTGTTAATAAATTATTGGTGTCTTTGCTTTTAGAAAACAAACATAAATACAGATTTTCAGTATGAAAAGTGCCCATATTTATAAAAGAAGCACATCAATTTTGATCATGTGTCTGATGCTGTCCAAATGTATTCACATGTCAATTATACTGAAACACATTAGACTTCCTTCAGCATCTTCTGGTTTTCAGTTTGATGTCAATGCACCTACAGACCATTATGTAGATGCTATTTAAATATGGGATGGGATTATTACAAACTTGTTCTATCTTCTGCTTTCAAAACTCTGTTCCAGTATCTTAACCTGTTTCTGTCGATCTTCTCATAGACAAAAAAGAAGCGGACGGGAATTCACATGTGGTTGTGATGCCAGCGCCCTCTAAACGAGGGAGAAAGAAGAAGACCACAGTGTCTCGGGTTGGTCCTCTGGGCATGCCAGGAAATGAAACTGTAATACTGGCTCATCTGACGCCAGGTGGCCAGGTAAGAGAACAGCTACAGATGTGAAAGAGGAAGGGTGTTGCAACGAACTGCTCATTAAATCAATTTAAATTTTATTATCAATAGGTGACAACTTTGCAGCATCATGCTAGAGATCCATATGATCTCTCAAATGAAGACGAAGACCATGCCTCGAAAGATAGCACGAAAACATACAGGTATTTATTTATTTATTTAATTTTTTTAAATACTTGCTGCTCATCTCCATTTGTTCTTGCTCTGGCTGTGAAAAATGCATACATCTGTTTCTCTGTTCACTTCTGGAAATTAGCATTGAGATTTTCAGCTTTTGTAGATGACCTTGGCAGTGCTGGATATTAGCGTCTGACACGCCGACTCCTCAGACAAACACTCTTCACTGCATGTTGTGGCTGAACACACCAGCTTTGTGATGGATGCTTAATTCTTTACTAAAAATGTATTTGAGAAAACAAATACATGCTTTGTAGATGCTCTCTCCGTCTGCACACACTGGACACAAACCTGTCTTCTACTCTCCCCTTTGTCCTTATATAGCATGCTCTTTGAGCTGTGATCTCACTTCTGTGTCCTTCTCTTCCTCTTTTTTATAGTATCTGTGTACCTTTCCTCCTCAGTTTTCACTGATTTCTCCCTTGACATTTCACTGTGTTGTCTGGTTGTGTCGTCTTTATTTGATTTAACCCGCCTTTGTCTTCATTGATTTTTTTTCTTTCTTTTTTTTTCATTTTCTGTGATATCTTATTTCTCTCTGTGGGTCATTGCTCCATTACCCTGTCTCCTAATCTTCTTCTGTCCCATCTTCTCTCTTTTTTTTCTCCTCCTCTTGTACATCTCCCTCTTCTTCCTCCTCCTTGTACTTCCATCCCATCCTTCCATTTCTCTGTCTCTACGCCTGTAGGTGCCGGATGTGTGCGGCGACCTTCTTCAGTAAGTCTGACATGCAGATCCACTCCAAGTCGCACACAGAGGCCAAACCTCACAAGTGTCCTCACTGCGCCAAGTCATTCGCCAACTCCAGCTACCTGGCCCAGCACATCCGCATCCACAGTGGGGCCAAGCCTTACACCTGCTCCTACTGCCAGAAATCTTTCAGGCAGCTCAGTCACTTACAGCAGCACTCACGGTACTACAGACCCCCCAATCCCATTACCCACCCATACCATATACCCTGTTCTCTTAACTTGTCCTGCTAAGACCCCTCCTATGTTCTTCTCCATCCTGGTGAAGACAGTGAAGTGCAGACCATATTACGTTGCCTTGTGGATGTTGGCTCGCATGTTGCCAGTTTCATCCAGTGACCTTTTCAGCATATTAAAATTCAGACGACACCTTTGAAGTCTGGCCTTTGGCTGTAAAAAATTTTTTTCTTTTGTTTTTTTCCCCCTGCCTTTGTTTCTGTCTTTGCTGTGTTTGTGCAGGTCTTGCTCCTTTTTGCACTGCACCTTCTGTTCTTCTGTCTGCATGTGCTGTCATGTCTTCCGACACTGCTTCTTCCATAGACACACACATACCTATTTCAAATATTTCAAAGTAAACTTCTAAAAAATAAACTTGACAGTATTGTTGCTCTTTACCATTGTACAGCCCTTTGTGTTATTGATTTGATGGTTCATATCTTTGTCAGTGCTTTTCTCACCTTCAACACTCAATAGTGATGTTCTGCCATGCTTTGCTTTCATGCTCTGTTATCCTGTTTGTTTGATCCTTTTTGGGGGGCTGTGCTCGTATCCATTTTCCATCATTTCGGGAAGCATGATAAACTGATACATTTGTAAAACGTGTTAGTATTTATTATTTTATTGTTTTAAAGGGGACCTATTATGCTTTTTGTATTTTCCGGCATATGTATACCATTAAAATGCTGGATTTTCATATTAAACAAGTCAGTGTAAAGTAATTTCTGTGAGGCAAAAACACAGCTTTTAGACTGTTCTCTTAGTTGTAGATACTTTGTTCAACTCTTAGCTCTGTATGATATCAGTGAGAGTCAATATCCATAAAGTGGTCACCTCAGGGACACAGCTCTGGCTAGGAGCATAGATTCCCCACCCACCTGCTGTTCAGACCTCCTGTTTGATGGAGAAAATTGACTGAAGGGGAGAGAGAAGGAGATAAAACGACTTGTTTCAGACAGCTGAGGGGCTGCATCAAGGGGCTGCATCAGGCCTGTAAGGCTTGAAAAGCTACTCATGTTAAATTCAGTATTAGCTGAAAATTACATAACATAATGGGTCCCCTTTAATATAATCTCTTGTGTTTAAATCTTAAGCATCTAATCGCGTTGGTCCAGACATATAAAATTGTTAATGTTGTTGGATGTTTGTGTGAATTTTGTAATTACTGCTGGCCGTAATCAGTATAGCGTATTTTGTTGGGGTGTTTTCTTCAGAATTTCCAAATGTTTCATTGCTCTGTGCTTCATCGCCGCAAGCTTTAATTTCCTTGTGTGAGATGTTTTTCCCTGAAATGATAAATTAAGAGGATTATCTTAAAATGAGGCTTTTTTTTGTCTTCAGTTTATCCTTACAGTCCTGTTTTCATTTCTCTGTTTTACCATCTTGTCTGCTCTCATCAGGAACCACACAGATGCAAAGCCCCACAAGTGTCCCCATTGTACCAAGTCATTTGCCAACTCTAGTTACCTGGCCCAACATATCCGCATCCACACCGGAGTGAAACCCTACACCTGTTCCTACTGCGAAAAGTCCTTCAGACAGCTGAGTCACCTTCAGCAGCACAGCAGGTAAATCACCCACTGGTCTAGGGTTTCTCATCTCCTTGCGGTCAGGTTAGGTCACCCTGAAAGTGATAGGCGCCTGTGTTTGTACATGTGTGTGTTTTTGTGTTTTATTCAGGATTCATACTGGAGATCGGCCATACAAGTGCAGTCACCCAGGCTGTGAGAAATCCTTCACGCAACTCTCAAATTTACAGGTGTGAATGAGTTTGGTTCTGTTCTTATGCATGGAGTGTTTGGGTATTAACTGACTCTCAAAACATTTCACTGTATTGTTATGCCTTTTTTTTTGCCAATAACAATTTTTTCCCCTAGTCTCACCGGCGTCAACACAACAAAGACAAGCCTTACAAGTGCCCCAACTGCAATAAAGGATACATAGATGGAGCGAGCCTGGAGGTGCACATGTCCACACACACTGTCAAACATGCCCGGATCTACTCGTGTGGTCTCTGCAACCGCACTTACACTTCAGTAAGACAAATGTCCATTTCTGAAGAGCATTACTACATGCAACACTATGAATCGCCTCACTGGCATCAGACACCTGGCAGCTACTTTACACCGTGTAGTCATGTCTCCACTGTTTCCCCTCTACCTATCCTCCCTTCATCTCAGGAGACGTATCTGGTGAAACACATGGAGAAACACAACCCAGAGCAGTTGACTGCATCAGCAGTCATGGCAGCACAGCCGGCACAACAGAACCAAAGCCAGGCCCAGGGCCAGGCTGGAGCTCAGAGCCGGGTAGAGAGTGCAGATGGAGCATCGAGCCGACCTGGAGGAGCTGGGAGTGGAGCGGCGGGCAGGGGCCAGCAAGGACAGAGCCAGAGCAACTACCCTCAGACAGAATCCATCTCCTGTCCGTTTGACCTCCATCAATACAAGACGGTGTCTGCCAACGACATCCAGTACAAGTCAGTCAGTGTGGCGGACATTAGTACCCACAAGGACCTCTGTCTCACTGTGTCAGCATCCACCATCCAAGTGGAGCACCTCAACTCTTAGAGAAGATGAAAGGAGAGAGAGTGGGAGGTTGGCAAGCTAAAATTTATTCATAATAACAAGAGATGGAGGATGAAGAGTGGAAAAATTAAAGCAATACTAAGATGATGCAGAAACTTTGGAACAAATGACTGTGCCTGAATGATTTTTTTGAGGCAGACAGGAGAAACAATACCATGACACAATAAACTGAAGACTATAATTTTAGTTTTATTTTTTTTAAGTTTTATCTCTTTTTTTTTTCTTTCTTGCCTTGTTTGATTTGTTTGCTTAGCTGTCCAGTCTGACGTGCATGTGAAGGCTGCAATAAAGTATGTTTCTGTCCATCACAGTGATGGTTTTATAATAGGAAGCATCTAAGAGATACTTCACTTTACTATTAACACCTCCTGCTCTTCCCTACAGATACAACTTTGGCCATCTCAAGTTATTGACTTCCTTTTATTGAAATTAGTAGTTGACTATGAAAGTATTTTTTTATACTTTCATACAAAAACTTTCAGTTTTTACATCAACATTATTAACTCTGCGAAGTTATAACAACGGATGCTTGTGATCCTTTTTTTCTGGAAAGAAAAAATAGCAATCACATATATAAAGTTATATCCTACCAGTTTATAAAGTATGATTGCGTGCTTAAAGGTTATGGTAAAACACATAATGTATTTAAATCGATTTGCAGGCCTTCACATAACCTTTGAGAGAGAGTGATGAGCCTGTTCATGTAATCCAGTTGTACTGCTTTGTATGTATGTCCTCAAAGTAGTGTTATCCAAATGTGCTTCTGCTATTATACTTCCATAGTAACAACATTTATAACACTTATTCATAGACATAATGACTCATGAGATTTTTTTCTGCTTATAATAAAAATAAAACCCTCTAAGTGATTACTTCTTTTTAATTTTTTTCTACTTTATTGCCTTTTTAATTATTTTCATATGTGCTGTAATTGCTTTATGGGGGAACTTTAACTTTTTATCCTTTTTTCCCCAATTCCTTTCACATAGTCTTTATTTTTCTTAAAAATAAATAAACACATTTATGTTGTTTATTTTATGACAATCATGCCCGTGGATCAGGTATATTTGCTGGAATGTGCAAATTTGCGAGGTGTTTACAAAAGTGGACTGTACCATAAGAGCACAGGGGTGTCGTGATCAATTTCTCGGATATTTTCAGATTATATTTCTACGTAATGATACACAAAGTAAAGATGTTTAATCGTTTGAAGTGTAATCGTAAAATGAGATTTAAATAAAGCCCCACAAATGCACAAAATAATCGGTTTTCCAACACCTAAAATTGGTTTCTTCCGTCATTCTCCGCAGTCTGCAGTGGATATGGCGTCATTGAAAAGTGTACGAGTCGAGAAACTTCATCCATGTAAATAACGCCAATAAGAAAGCTGTGTGAGAAGCTTTACGCAGCAAAACATACTCCATAGCTTTCTTTATATATAAATATATTAATCGTTTTGTTTGTTTTTTAAAACTATGCCCCGGAAAAAGCCATTTAGCAACAAACAAAAGAAGAAACAGCTACAAGTCAAACGGGAGAGAAAGAGAGGTAACAGTATTTTGCCGTTAGCATGCTAGGCTTAGCAGTTTGCTAACGGTCCGTGCTCCATAGCTGAGTTTAACTGCAATGACTCTTTGTGTCTGCATGTTGTCGGGGGTTCTTAAGTTGATTATCAAATCACTAATTTAGCCCGTAAACCGAAGCCAGTGCTTGTTTCAGCTAGCAGTCATAAGAAGCAGTGTGGTATAACTTTGCCTTCGGAGTGGGCAAGTACGTGAAAATTAGCGCACAGACTTGGGTTAAATGTGTTAAATAATGCAAAGTCGTGTGCTTGTTGTTTAACCATAGAAACTACTAGAGACAGAGCCACTTTAACAGAGGTCTTGGACCGTGGTGCTGTCAATAGGTCAATTTATTACCACTAATAGCATGCTGGATTTAAGATTTTCCATGTGCTCGCTATGTTTCAAGTGATAACGTGATTTAGTTTCCATCAAGGACGCCATAAAATGTGACATAACTTGTCAAAACTAGGCATGTTCCAACTAGGCACTTTCTGAAAATCCTGCCTTTCCTTTAGGTGTTGCTGAGTCCACTTAAAGCATGATTAACAAGAAAAGTATTAGTTTTCATAGCAATGTTTATACTCAAGTGCTTACTGTAACCAATAAACCCTTTAAGACATACACTGAAAGTCTTTTCTACCAAGGTGAGGTCATCCACACAGGGTAGTCAATGAATTCTGCAATGCAGGACGACATTATGGATTTATTGTACCCTCCATTAACTAATCAAGAGGTCAGGATAGTTGGATGTGAATTTCATAAACATTATCATGTTCGAATTAATTTATGCCTGGAAGCATTTAACATTTCCACCAAAATGAACCAATAAACCTGTTAATAAGCACAGTATTTAAGCAGCATTTAAGTTAAAAGAAAATTTCTTGGTATTGGTTTGTGATCTTCCAGGTGACACAGGCTCTGGGCCAAGCAGTCGCAATGCCAGTGTGGAGCGAGGAGGAGAGCGGCAGTCAGATACCTCAGACAGCGAGACCACTGATATTAGAAGAATAAATCAGCAGCCCTTCAGCAGAGAAGGAAGATATGACCCTAACAGGTGAGTTGTAAGAGTACAGCAGATTTCAGTATAGTACAGATTTCAGATTCTAGTTCTGTAAAACTTAGCGAAATCCAACAGCCTGTGCTTGAAGTCGCACATAAAAAAGATGCTTAAGTAGGAAGCAGCTACATTTTGATAACTAATTGGAGGTTTAGAAGATCATGCAGAAAATAAGATGAATTCACATGTGTTCAATTTTACAAAAATAATGTAATTTGTGTTGGACGTGATTTGCAGTCAAAATGTAATTAACGCTTATAATCTCATTCCAGTTATAAAAATAAAAATTCTACAACACTTAGAAGAATACAACAATAAGAAGAGTTTTTAATTTCACAATTTTAACTGCTGGACACAAACTGTCTCATGCTTCAAGTCTTTCTTAATATTCACTGTAGAATTGAAGCTTTAACACCCCCTTTTTATGCTGATTACTCAATCGGGATCGGTTTCCAGGTCAAATGGTCAGTAAACAAAGAGAAAATTCAGATTGTTGAATTTGTTGCCTTTACGTACACACATCAAAAGTATTTAAAAGAAACTGACACTCAGCAGAAGCTGTTCAGTCATGGAAGCCCATGTCACGAAGCCCCTCATACACATTTATGCCAGAGGAGGTTTTGAACACTGCAGTTAATGGGTCAGCAGAACGTCGGTGACTTTTACGCACTCAGCACTAAGCGAGACCATTCTGTTACTTTACTTTGTCTGCCACTTTGTGGCTTAGTTGCCGTGTTTCCTAAACCCTTTCACTTTGCAATAATACCACCTACAGTTGATTGTGGAATATCTAGGAGGGAAGAAATTTCCCAGACTGACTTGTTGTAATGGTGGCATCCTTTAATGGTACTATGCTCGAATTCAATGGGCCGTTTATAACAACATATTCTCTTAAAAATGTTCGTAAAGATGGACTACATGGTTTGGTGATCAATTTGCCTGTACTGAAAACACCTTAATTCAAAATTAAGAGGTGTGCCCAATACTTTTGTCTATACAGTCTTTTTCTTTGTTTAATTTTTTAAATTATTATAAACATACAACAGTAAATATACAACAAATTAGAAAGTGAAGATATCACAAGAGAGAAGGGAAAAAGGAAACAAGTAGGGAGTGATCTTCTAATCCTAAATTAGGTTAAAATAAATTAGGTCTGTAGGACGTTACATAGTTGACCTGTTTTTTTCCCCAGTATAAATCAAATGCTCATATAATGTATTTGTAAATAATGTGGTTCAACCTTTCAAATGTAGGAAGAAGAAGAAGGCACATTTTTCACTGGATAGGGGCTTTCATCATTAATTTGTCATAACAGCAGACAGTCATACAAAGGCTCAACAGGGGGTTTTCTCATTTTTTAGGTTCCGACTGCACTTTGAGAAAGAGGGTAAAGAGGAAGTGGAGAAGAGGAAGAAGCTGGCCAGGGAAAAGGTGCTACAACAAGTCTCAGACAAAGAACTTGAGGTTGACATCAATGACATCTACCCCTCAGAGAAAGGTCTGATTCATTTTGGTGTTAATTCTTTCTTCATCCTAAAATAAACCAAACATGAGCAGAGTAGGCTAATGGAGTGGGTCACTGCTTGACACACTAACACTTGATTATTCACTGCCAGGCCTTGGTTTCCCACGACGGCCGTCCTGGAATTATGAGATGACACGGGAGAGCCTGCTGAGGAAAGAGGAGAAATCGTACAGAGACTACCTGGATGACTTGCACTCCAGAAACCCACCTGGCTCTCTCAGCCACTTTGAGCACAATCTGGAGGTAACTAAGTAAAGGAGTTTGTTTTTACTGTAGAAGTGCCACTGCACAATAATGAACTGTAAAAAGTTTTGATGGTTATGGGGGCTTTTTTCACCAGCATTTGTGGTGAGTTTTGCAGGTCAAATTTTGTTTTAAAAGTTCCAGGAGTACATTTGCTGCCTAAACTAACTCAGGCTGAAGTGCTGATTTTTAGGAGAACCTTTGTACTATGAAGTTGCTTTTATTGTTGCTAAGCACTTAATCTCAATTATTATGGCTTCTGATGATTATGAAAGCAAAATAATGGGCATAGAAAACAACTTTGTGCACTTTCACCCCTACGTAAAAGCTCAAACTCATGCACTTTTTACTGTAGCTGGAGCCAAGGCAATTAAAAGAGAGCTAGTTAATTTAGTTACCAGGATCTATCTAAAAGAAGTAAATATCTCTGTAGGTGAAACTGTGGAAGGATTATGGCTTTTGGGACTAACAGATGCCCTTGTGAGGCCCCACCTCCCCGTGAATCTGTGTTCAACACCACCATCACATTTTAATTTATTTATTTATTTTCATAATTTAGTTATTAATTAATTTTCATAAGTCTTAAAGCTAAATAAATGATGGTCATTAAGTTAATGACTATTGAGGTTAACAAATTTAATTTAATTAAGGAGTGATCCTTCAAAAGACATGAATTGAATTCATTAAAGCACCGAGTTTGAATTAGAAATTATTTGGCCATTAGACTCAGATGAAGCTACAAAACAGTATGAATCAGAATCTGAAAAGGCAGAATGACAGAGGAGATTTAAGCACACAGAACTGAGGCTGGTTTGTAGAGGGTGGGCATGAACATGGTTGGACCTGAGTGATAACAACATAATTAAGTTTGACAGCACCGCTAAGCAGAAGAATAGCTAGTATCCCAGTGACCCAGGATTGCAGGCAGATGAGTGAGCACAGATCTGTCTTATTGAACGTATGCATAAGCTTAAATATAATATTAAGCCTAAATAATTTATAAATAATGATTCTAACTTCACGGGGCTTTAGTTTATATAAATGTAATGCTTGTGTTCAGTCTAACGACCTTTGTCCAGAATCCAACAATCAAAACACCCTCCACTTTTTCAGATGAATCAACACACGCCACACCACTGTGGTTAAACCTTGTCATTTTCACACTGAACCAGGGCTGGTGACTTCTTTGCTGTGCCACTGTGCTTTCATGCGTGTCTTTTCTCAATATTGGTCTTCATTTTGCAGTCATGGAGTCATTTTAGTAATGTGGTAACTGCTTTTTGGGTGGCAGAACACTTCTGCAAAAAGTCTGTGTTCTTGAATCACTTCTGACTCTTTGAGAACAGATGAAACATGAAGAATTGCTGCTTGCTAACACATTTTTAGGTAAGCTGATGATTACCCAGCAGACCTGCTGTGCCATATTTGTCTTAAAGGCATAAGTGTTCAAGCTGTTATCCAGCATGTGGTTCCAGGACTTACCACAGACTCATTATTTCATTTCTTAGCTCAGGATGATGTAGGGATTACAAAGAGTTATAGAACATAGCTTTGTATTGTCTGATATTTCCCACTGGTAGAAGCACCATCATATCTTCCTCGCATGCTGTGTTATTGTTCAGTTTTGCTCCGAGTATGAAACCGATAACAATATTGTTCAAAACCACAAGCCCTGCAGATCATTTAATTTCATAGTGGGGGTTCTGGAGCCATATCACAGCAGAAGCAGGGCTGGTGTAATAGGTGGTCCTCAGTAGTCTGAAATTGTCTGTTTATTTTTGTTTTGTTTTTTAAATGGAAGTCAGGATAATAGAAAAATATAATTTAGATTAAAAAGCTGATTGAACATGTTGTTTTTCCCGAATAGGTTGATTACATTAGACTTTAATGGAATGTTATCATAAACCTGCAACTTATTTTTTTTTATATTAATAGAAACATCAGAAAGCTGTCTGTCATTTTGACAAATATAAAAACTGAGGGTGGTCTTTGGACGGTACATGGTAAAGTGGTTAGCGCAATCGCCTCAGAGGTTCAAATCTCCCTGAGGCCTTTCTGTGTGGTGTTTGCATGTGAAACCAGCTTCTCAGTTTGTAAAATATACAGTACTGCAGTGTAAAGAATATGACAGTGTAGGAAGCACTATTTGAAATCTAAGTTTTAATCTTTGGGACTTATTTTTTGGTTTAAATGGTGTTGGTTATTCCAGTTTCCGTAGTGGAAGTTGATTAAGTTAATGTTGCCTTTTTAAGCACTGTAGCTGGTTTTACTGCCCTTCACTCTTATTTCAGGGGAAAAGCATAAAGCTGCTTTGTGTGGTTTTGACTGTGCAATGACCACATGTGTCACATGGTGATTATTTTTATACTCCTTCCTCTCATAAGTATGCACCCTCCTCTGTCATTATTGTGATAGAGATTAAATGCTGTTAAATACAGGTCACTAACACTGACATGTTAAAATGACAGGTAATAAACCTGAAACGTGTTTGTTTTTTTTGTACTCTTCTGGCTCTCTCAAAGCAGTAAAACAAGTTAATAAGAACTTTAAGAAAATAGTTCTGCATTTACACATGTGGCAGTTGTGAAGCATCATTCAATTGGAGAGTGAATGTTTAGGCCACCTGGGAAATTTAGGTCCAATATTCAGTCCCTGTTCTTGGTTCCCAAATGAAGTCTCTGCAAATTAACTAAACATCTGGCTTTTGAGCTGCTAAATGTTCCACCATGTTCACCAGCTAGTTAATAATTACATTGGTCTGCTGTTTGTCAGCTGTGGAGGTCTGGTGCATTGTGTTATTTAGAGCTTTTTCTCTGAAAACAGCTGCCCACTGCAGCTGAACCTGCTGAACAGTTGTGGGTCAAGCAGCTAATCAGCTTGAAACTCAGTATCCATCTGCGCAGGTCAGAGCAGAGCTTTCTGTTTGTTAAATAACTCTCTTTATGTACACCGTTACAAGCAACCACTCTGACTTTGTCTTTGTGTTTTTGTATTTGTGTGTAGTCACTTGGAAAATGTTCGAGTAGTTTCTAACACATCCTCAAGTTGAGTAAAAAAGGAACTAGTGAATTTGTTTTATTTACAGTATTAAACCTCATTCTTCTTCCCCCATTTGCTTTCTTTCTTTTAGACGTGGAGGCAGCTTTGGAGAGTCTTGGAGATGTCGGATGTGATTCTTCTCATTGTTGACATGAGGCATCCGGTAGGTAGAGTTGGTAACCACTAGATGGAGACACAGTCAAAAGTTATTATTTATCTGTTTGTTTACCTGATGCATTTTGTCCTGAAAGCAGGTTTTGTTAGAGAGAGCCTCGAATGGGAACAGAGGGCGCTGAGTAGATAGCAAGATTTCTATACAGCTATTACTACCTGTAGGTGCACGCTGGCAGACGACAAAAAAAGATATAAATTAGAAAATTATCTCAAATGCTGCTTTGGCATCAAACGCATATTGTCAGTTTACCCACTTTTTAGATGTAAAATTGAGTTTCATGAGTTGCACCAAAACTGTCTGCTGATTATTTGAGAAGAAAATAAATGACCGTATTTTATATGTGAATAAATTTGACCCTTCATTCGTCTCTTCAGTTTATCAGAAATTTCACTGGAACATTTTATCAGCATCTCATTAAATTGTATAGATGCTGTGACCTTGCTGATGAAGTGAGCTGAATTTACTTACTGCTGTGTTCAGTGTGTGTCTGTGTGATCTGTTCCTGAAGATTCAAGTCAATTCAGTTTTATTTATATAACACCGGTTCACAGCAACATCCTTTCCAAGGTGCTTTATATTTTAAGGACAATATATTTCCATATTGGAGAGAGAAAATCTCACTAATCAGATGATCTCCTACCAAGCACTTGGTAGCAGTAGGGAGGAAGAACTCCCTTTTAAAATGAAGAGATCTCCATCAGAACAAGGAGCACTGAGAAGATAAAACACAAATTTACTGGAAATAGAAGACAAAAGTTAATGGCATCAGTAGTGGCCCATAAATGAGGAGAGGAGAGGTGAGGTGAGGTGCTTCACGGGACGCCTGAGCTTATAGCAGCAGATCTGATTGTTCAAGGTCACCTGATCCAAACTTAACTATGAGCTTTGTCAAAGAAGAAATCTTAAAAGTAGAGTTTTGTCTGACTCCCAAACCAAAACTGGAAGGGGTGGGAAACTCAAGGTATCACAAGTAAGCCTGCACTCTTAAGCTCTTTTTGCATCAGTACCTACTCAGATCAGCTCAACAGGACTTGAGGCGATACGACTCTACTCGGCTCCTTTTCCATTTCAACTGAATACCACCTAATGTGCATGGGACCGTTATAGCAATGCGGCCGACTGTCCTGTGACGTCATTTGTATGCGACACAAATGCTACAATGAAGGTGGAAGTTAAAGTGGTGTTATACCTGCTGCTCGGTCTGTGGCTTTATGTCAGACTCGGGGACCACAGTGTTGTTTCCATGTAGCTGTTTCCCTCGTGGCTGGGTTTCAAAAACAGCAGTTTTGGTTTTCCTGAAGGAGGAAACCGAGGACGAAACTCTCATGGGTCATGCATGCAGTCTGTTGATGTCACATTTTCAGATTGCCTCAGATTGCTTGGAACCCCAGTGGAGAAGGCACTTAAAATGTACCCTGTACCAGGTGCATCATCTAATGGAAAACCTTGAAAAACATGTCAAGTCGAGTCGACCTGACCTGAGTTGGTACTAATGGAAAAAATGGTATTAGATCATAGTGGTTTATTGGGCCTAGGTAGTATGATGGGGTTTGATCAATTCAGCCTAGATATAACAAACACATGAACTAGTTTTTTAGCGTTACTCTAAGAATGTTTATAAACATCTGAATTCACATTAAAATTAAAAACTAGTTCCGTGCATCTGACATGGTTACATTTCCCTTTTAATGCAAATTTAAAAACAGTACACTTATATTTGTTTCTATTTATAATGATTCAATCTAATGGGTTATTTTTTCAAAAGGCAGTAGTTGTTATGGAATGCCTTTATCACCTCTTGAGTGGACTACTGCAACTCCCTGTACATGGGATTACCTGGTCCCACTCACTCTCATTTGCAGATGGTTCAGCATGTAGCTACTTTTAACTATCAACAAAGAAAACAGAGCAGATCCACACTGGTTCAGCTCAGCGGCACTAGCTACCTGTAAGGTTTTTCATAAATGAATTTTTTTTTTCCAAAGCCCTCCATGGATTAGCTCTGCGATACACAACAGGTCTTTAGCTCAGTATTTTGCCTCCAGGTCAGCGAGGTCATTGTTCCAACAACTTCTCTCAGTGCCTTCTTCTCGCCTAAAAACCAAAGGTGAACCAAAGGTTTTTGATGTACATAAGGTGTACCTATTTTCTGTTGGATTTGGTTAAGTGTGAGCTCCATCATTGTTTTGTCAAACTACCTATGAATGTTTCTATTGCTCTTGAATTGACCTGTATACCACCCAGGTGCTGCAGTTCCCTCCAGACTTGTATCACTACATCACTGGAGAGCTACAGAAGCATGTGGTCCTGGTATTGAACAAAGCCGACCTGTGTCCTCCACCACTGGTAATTGCTTGGAAACACTACATGGCCTCCCAGTTCCCCCACCTGGAAATAGTTTGCTTCACCTCACACCGTGGCCAGCCATACAGCACAGGTGAGGAGAGGGAGAGCCGATGTTTGGGGGGGGGTTATAGAGAGAAGAAATACATGAAAAATAAAGTCATAAAGACAAACCTGTCACTTATTGAACTTATTTCAGCACAGTGTAATCAGAGTAACCTGCTGTGTGTCTGTTCAGCCCCTGTGGTGACTGCAATAACTGTTGTACTTGTCTGTTCTGTTCTGACTCACAGTCCTCCAGAAGAAGAGGATGAGGAGAAAGGCTGACTGGAGTCAGGCTGGAGGTCCTTTAGATATCCTAAAGTCTTGCCAGGAGATCACATCAGGGAGAGGTAGGAGAAAAAGTCATTTCACTGTTCTTCTTTTATAATAATAATGAATACATTAAGTTATACACACAATGAATTTAATCAGCATTTCATTCAAAATGTTATTGATCATCTTTTTGTTTTTTGTTGCTTTGTTGTTTTGTCAGTTGACCTCTCCAGCTGGGAGCAGAAGATTCAGAGAGATGCCGTTTCTGAGCGGCTGGACGGAGAACGGACAGATGAAGGAGCAGAGTCTGTCTTGGTGGAGCATCAAAGTGATAGTGCTTTGGAGATGAGCAGTCCATCACAGGAGCTCTACAAAGATGGTGTTCTTACATTGGGCTGCATAGGTAATCATTTTCTCAGAGAACAACAATCTTTGGCCAGAATCAGTGAACATTTTCTTTTCAATTATAGCGAAACAGGTTCTTGTTAAGAAACTTGGAAAGTATATCTTAGTATTTTCTCCAGATATTGCTTTTTTGGTAAGAAATTAGAATATTTCACAGTATTATTTCACTTTTATCTGATTAGGAAAGAACATTGTCTTACCAGTCCACAACAATATAATTCGATTTTCAGATTAAAAACTAGAGGACAAATAGGTTTAGCCTGAAAGCAATATAAAGGAAGTCATGGTATGTCTGTTATGTGTATCTTGATTATAATCGAGTGTACCATTAGTAGATCGGCCAATCTCAATATCCAACCTGCTTAGGCTAATAGTTTAGCTTGTAAAGTGACCTAGTTTGTCTCCAGACCTCAGTCCTGTAGAAAATCTGTGAGGAAGCTGAAGCTTCATTTTCCAAGCAGCAGCCAAGAAAACTGTACTTTCTATAAAGAGCAGTGGGCTACTATTCCTCCTGAGATTTGTCTAAACCCAGTGACCAACTACAAGAAATGTCTTACGGCTGTGATTATCAACAAGAGTTCCAGCCAAGTACTAACTAATGTTTTTCTTGGGGATCAAATATGTATTTCACTCAGTGACTTGCAAATCAATTTATAACTTTTATGTTATCTGTTTTTACTGGATTTGGTTGATATTTTTATCTTCGTCAAAATGAAAATACTAGAAAAATTAGACAGAGTTTATTTCTTTTCTTTAAGCAAATATCCATAAAATAGGGTGTCAAATAATTATTTCCCCCACAGTACCTTCTCGGATTGTTATTGTTAGTGGTCAGTCTTGCTCGTAACTTTAACTTAAATTAAACATACTAGAATTCTCCATCTAGATCTTTGGACGTGTCTGTGAGCGTCACAAGGTCATAGCTGTAGGTGTTCCGTCATGCAAAAGAAGTTACTTGTGTGAATTCCTCTCAGCAAAGTGAGAAATGTCAGTAGAAATGTTGGTCGACTGCAAAACTGTGGCTGAAATGATGGTGGTAATTTCAGTGTCTAGTGTGGCAGAAGAGGGAGGGCTCAGCCTTCAGAATAAAATACAACAAGAAAAGTTGTCAGGGAAAATATTGGCTCTGCAGCAACCTCCCATGATGCATTTCATTGCGCTCAACCGAGCGCCCAGCAGGTCATTTGAGTTCATATTTGCCTGTTATAGGCACAGTATTTTTATTCCTCTGCTTCTTGTAACAGATTCTGTATGTGTGTGTATGTTGTTAAATCAAAGTGTGCATATTGGAGCTTATCTAAATTGTCTCTTTGCAAAGTTAATTGAAAAAAAAAAAAACAACAACAAAAAACACCTGCTCGATCTGCTTCTTGTGGTGTTGATGTGTGAAGTGACCGTACAGTTGGTGTTTCTATCTTTTAATAAAAGACATTGCGTCATGCACTTAAAACATGCACCTCACTATCATTAAACATTAAGAAGTTTTTACAAACTTATTTTTTTTAATCTAGTGTTCCTGACTGAATGTAGTTATTGGCATCTGAATATAAATTCAAAAACAGTGACTCTTAAAAAGAATTTATAGAGCTTGAACACTGTTACATATGAGTGCCTTTGTAACCTCTCTTTCGTTTTCCAGGTTTTCCCAATGTTGGTAAATCTTCAGTTATAAACAGCCTGGTGGGAAGGAAGGTGGTAAGCGTGTCTCGAACCCCAGGTCACACCAAATACTTCCAGACCTACTACCTCACTCCGACAGTCAAGCTCTGTGACTGCCCCGGGCTGGTCTTCCCCTCCCGTGTCAATAAACAGTTACAGGTACAAGTTCACTGTTGTGTACTCCAGAGCAGATGTGACTTTCACTTTACTTGCCCGATTAGATGCGGTAGAAACATAATTGTATTGAGCTGCACGCTCTCCAGGAGTATTTTGTGTGATTGTCGCTTTAATTTTTAAACAGCTCTTAGTTGCTATCTTGCTGTTACCAAAGGTAATTTCTGACCTGTCTTTATTTTGTTCGTGAATTTCTTCCTCTTGTTTTTATCTTTAAATGAATTTTCTATAGATTCTGGCAGGCATCTACCCAGTGTCTCAGCTACAAGAACCTTACAGCTCAGTGGGTTATCTGTGTGAGAGGACCCCCTTCCTTTCCATACTGAAGCTCAAACATCCCAGTCTGCAGGAAAATGAAAGAAACCAGGAGTCGGAGGAGCCCAGCTGGACCGCCTGGGATGTGTGTGAGGGTAAGGTGATAGTTAGCGTCACAGCATCTGAGTTGTTGTGGTCGTTGATAGTTTGGAAACTTCAATACACTAAAATATTGAGAGGATAAATGGCAAGCTTCCTTTAATTCAAGTCACAGATCTTTATTGATTCTAAAATAACAAAATCAGTACAATTCAAAGGAGAGCCAATCCCCCTGCTGCAGGGCCACTGCCATTATTTGCTCTCTCTTGTCAACACAGCCCTGTAGTAAAAATCAGCCAACAATGCACTGGTCCATTTATCAAGTCAAACTGAACAAAGTCAATTTTTTATGTAGCACATTTAATCACAACAAATGCTGACTAAAGTGCTGCTCAACGTCACGAAAATAAAAATGAGTCAATAAAACAATTAGAAAACAAATACTGACGTGCCCTAGCTGTCTGTGGCACTCAGCCCCAGGCACATTGTTTAGATTAAAAATGTACATCACAAATATAAACTCTGGCCTTTAAACAGGCTTTGTTATTTACTCAGACAGCTAGATGTCCATGTCACTCAGGCAGTATTAGTTGGGCTGTTCTCAGCTGTGGATTCGGTGTTCTAACAACCATGTACAGTAGCAGGGTGGTGTTTTAGTAAAGCACTCAAAATAAACTACAACAGCCTCATTCATGATAATGAAAGAACGAGTCAGCCAGTTTTGTGGTGTTTCTAATATTATCAGTACAACAAGAGAGCCCAGTTGTGCACAGGAATAGGCAGACGTGATATTTTGGATACACAGACATTATTTCTCTTTTAATTATACCTTCATTTGATAGACTGTCACCAATTTATGTCATGCAAATGCTTCCTTCTTTCAGCTTGGGCGGAGAGAAGAGGCTACAAGACAGCAAAAGCAGCTCGCAACGACGTGTACCGTGCAGCCAATAGCCTCCTTAGGTTGGCGATTGATGGCAGATTGTGCCTCTGCCTCAGACCGCCCGGGTACAGCTGCTTGAGAGGTAAGAGAAGGCCCTCTGTGTCTCTTCATTTCAACTCTGAGACTATTCGAAAAGTTAAAATGCCAGGTGGATGGAATTAATTTATTTTGGGGATTATTTATGGTCTGCAGAGCACTGGGAAAATCACCCAGACTTGCCAGAGATTATGGCTCTTCAAGGAAGAGCAACAGAGGAAGAAGGAACCGCAGAGAGGGACGATGAGGAGGATGGCGAGTCCAGCACCGAGCCAGAGGAAGAGAGAGACAGGGATGCGGACGATGACGAGGACGGAGACGATGAAGATGAGGGGTTCGGGCACCCGAGACGAAGCGACGATAAGCCATCTGGCTTTACGGTCAACATGTACAACGTCCTTCGGGAAAATGAGTGCGAGTGATAACAGAAGGAGACGCAAGGAAGAAATAACCTGTTCCTCTGCTCTGACTTTTACCCATCTGCCCCAGTTCACTCTTCGTTCCTTGTTTCCCATAGACCTGCATTCCTCCTCGTTTTTTTTGTTGCACCTCCGCCTCCTCGTGTCATTACCTTCTCTGTACATTAACATGCTCGATTCTAATCCGTTCATATAAAGCATATTCCATGCTGTGCCTCTGCTCTGCTTCTTCTTTCTTGAAGCCTTTGTTTTTTAAAGTGGAGCTTTTAGGAATGGGTTTGGTTTGACTTGAGCTTCACACATTGCATGTAGTTCTCAGAGACAAAATGAAGTAACTTCCCTCAGCCTGGAATGATCAATATCTTCATAAATGAGTGACCTCACAGCTGAGATGCCAAAGTTTGGAAAAGTATGATGAAACAAATCAAATGCACTGTTGATATGATGTCATTCACTGAAGCAGCCATTTGGCTCTCAGAGCAGCTGGAGATTAAAAGAACACAACTCTAAATCTTCTTCATTGACCACAGCGTGTCTCAACTTTGAGTAGAGGGTGTGGGAGGGGATGTGGGAAATGTTAGGCTGTAAAACTAGAACTAATAAAGTAAACATTTTACGCACAGTTACTGCTATTATGAGTCAGTTAGAGATAATTTATCTGATCTGAATTTACATTATTCTGTGTCAGAGAGTGATGTGGGTTTTTTGGGGGGAGGGGTGGGTGTTTACACTCCTGTATTGCTGGATGAGGCTGTTTCAGGAATTAAACCTGTAGTGTTTTAACTACTACAACTGTTTTCCATAGATGTTGATGGGGATTGTCAGTATTTCGTCCAGGATTCGGCTGTGCTTATTCAGCATGTTTATATGTTGATGCCAGCACAGTGAATTTTATCCAACCGAGACTGCTTAACAATAATTGAAGGGATTGTTTAACATTTATTTGATTATTACTTTTTTGCCAAAAGGTATGTTTGAAGATTGAGCCCTTTGTTAAATAAAGCTACAGCTAGCAGCTGATTAGCAAGACTGGGACTAGCGTGACTCTGTCGAATGCTTGTAAAATCAGACCATAATTGGCCAGAAGTTTGTTTAATCTGTTCTAAAAGCTGCAATTTGTAATCTTCTTTTTCTTTCTTGGTTGTTCTTGGGCAGTGGACTCCTGCCACCATGAGGTTTTGTGAGCAGAGAAACTCTCCCTCATCAATAAAATCCTATTAAAACGGCAATTAATTGTTACATTTCAGTATTTTATAAAACTAAAACAAGATTAAAAGTTTTTGGCCCACGTATATTTAACAAAGTGAGTGTATGATACCTTAGTCCTCAGTTGCTCGAATGTGTATTCTGCAAGTGGTTGCAGATGTTTGGTGGCTGTCACTCTTAAAGCCCCGTTGATGCAGGCCTGGAGACTGATCAGTGACCCCCTGATCACCAGTGATCCTAGAGAAAATTTTGTATTCAGCAACCGCTGCTGGCAGTTGCTAGCATCAAAATGGTCACAAAGAAGTATGTGGTGCTGTACTGAAAGCCTCCTTATGATCACTTTGATTTCCAGCAGGTTGCATGGAAGACACCAACTTGTCTGCAAACACTGGCAAACAAGTCACTCAGCTATAATGGGGAAAAAAAAACCAATCCAGTGCGTACCAGACAGAGTTTGCCTCGAAGTTTAAAAGTTGTGTTTATTTTGAAAGCAAATGTTCAGGTTTCCAGTTTGCACTGTACTTTTTACAGTTGCACTACAGATCGAAGATCCATCTGCTAGTTACCAAAGCAACCTCGCACGGATGCTTGTGGTGTATCATCGCTATGACCTGCAATAAATACTAACCAGCTGTTATTCATTTTTCTTAGTGCCCTGAGATCCCCCGGGGGGTGGGGGGGTTCTTTTATTTTAAAATATTTTCCGATGGAAAAACTGAGATATAATGGCCTTTGGAGATAGTGGAAGTCTGATTTTTTTAAGCTTTTGACGTCTCCTCGCTGGCTGGTCCCTCTCTGTGCACTGCTGACACCTTTATATGAAAACTCAAAACACTGTTATTAAAAAACCAAGCTTCCACCTGTCCTTCATTATATATAACATTATGCTCCACCTCTTGTCTAAAATTTTAAAGTGGACATTTCTCTGTAATGTGCGATGGCCCCACTCCAAACCTGAGTGCTGTATTATCGTGTGCTGTTGTACATCATTCATGTGTTCACTGAGGGAATCCCATAGCACGGTGTTGTGTTACTGTGTAATACATCACACTGCAGCAATGACACGCTGTCATTTCTACTATTGGTACAATGAAAGTAGATGCTAAACACTACCATGCTGTTAGAAACACAGCAGAGTTTTAGTTGTTTTGATGTGGGAGGGTTTTTTTCCCTGGAAATATTGAAACTGACAGCGTCTGGAGAGTGTAGTGTGAGTGTAAAGGCTCAAGGTGTGTTCAGGCTATTTGCTGCATTCCTCATTTCATTCCTGGTATGCCTAATGATGATGACTGGACTGTTTTCTGCAATAAAAGAAGATAACCTTCAGAAACTCTGGCATCTTTTTTTCTTCTTCTTTTTTTAGTGCATTGTTTAATGATGTGTTTATGACATTTGCTTGTACCCAGAGCTGTAAAGGACAGTCTTTCTACGAAGTCCCCCGTCCACCACATCCTCCTAATTTCAGATGCACATAATTAAGCTTTTCCTTTGAATGGTTTGACACAATCTTCCAGGAGGTTTGCGATCAAAGTGAACAGCTCAGACATGTGGTTGAGCATTGTCAGACTAATTGCTGTTGGTATACTTCCTGAATGCATAATAGACATAGATACATGTGACTTATCATGGCGATCTGGGTGCTTTATAGTTGTCTCGTAATTAGTTGGGGGATTTTCTTTTATGAGTACCCGAGGGAGATAATTACGATGATGAGATTCAGTGACGATAACGATCAGCTGCATGTTGCACAGATCTAATTAAAGTCCTCCTAAACTACTTAATTGGTAAATTTCCAGATGGCCAATATTTAAAGCAGATACCGTGAAATGAAGTTAAAGTTATCGAACCACAAAATCATTACAGCGTTATTAAAGTTGTTGTTGAGGTTGAACCCATGTGAAATGTCTGAATGTCAGTGGAGATGCTTTAATCAAACCTTAAACATAGTAATTGTAGTTGTAGCCATCTATTTCATACTGTAATATGATAGGTGGTTAGTATTGGTTCACACTGCATTTGCACATGTCCAACAAGAGGTTTTAAAATAATCGTATGGATAACATATGCTCACTGGCCACTTTATTAGGCACACCGTGCTAGTATCAGGTTGAATCCACTTTTTACTCCAGAACTGCTTCAGTTCTTCAAGGAACAGATTTACCGAGGTGCTGGAACCATTCCTCAGAGATTTGGGTCCAAACTGACATGACAGCATCACACAGTTGGTGCAGATACCGCAGCTACTCGTTTATGATGCCAATATCCCGTTTCAGCAGCCGTGCTGTGTTGGATTGAGATCTGGTGACTGTGGAGATGATAAACTCAATCAGTCTGAGATGATTTGAACTTTGTGATAGTATGTTATCCTGCTGGAAGCAATAATCAGAATATGAGTTCACTGTGCTTATGAAGGCATGGACATGGTCAGCAACAATACTCAGGTGTGCTGTGATGTTTAAGTGAGTTGGTGCTAAAGTGTGTGTGGGGAGGTGGGGGCAGTGTGGGACAATGGTGAGAGGTGGTTTTGACATTTTCATATTAAACTTAATTGTGCATGTTACTAGGTGATCATTTGGCATGTCCGGGCCAGATATATTATATTTCAAGTGTCTTCTAACTACATGTAAGGATAAAAGAAGCTTAAGTTTGATCTTATGTTTCCTTGTGACAGTCCTCACATACTCACTTATTCTTTTATTTAACAGTTATTTCAGCTGCTCTTCTGTCTGATTACAGTTTGGATGTGT